AAATTAAAACAAACATAACATACCACTAAAAAATGGAATGTCTGATAATGGATATGATCTCATGTGATGAACAAGGTTTAATCTACTTTCTTCGAATTTGACAAGTAGCATGAGCACTTTTTTTCTTTTTTATTTTGTTTGTGCCTTCTAAGGCAAACAGATTTTGGTGCACAAGCCACAAAGATGAAATATTCAAATGAAAGGTGGAAGTATTTAATAAATTTTCTAGTAGTCATATGATTTTTTTTTTCTCAGCTTTTACCTCTAAAAATTCCAGCCTGAGGTATAGCATTTAGAAATGTCTCCACAGCTCCCAGAACATAACTGTATCAGCAAATAAAGTGGTCCAAAAAAAAAAAAGTAGCAACAACATGACTATCTGTGTCACGGTATGAGATGGGGAAAACAATCAACAGGAATATACTCACAGTGCACCAGCAACAGCATTTCCAAGGAAAAAACACAAACCGATGCTCACTCCAACTTCCGGACCTAGGGCACGACCAATGAGATAATAGGGTCCTCCTCCCTGTATCAGACAGAGAGTAAAAGAACATATTAAAAACAGCTGATACTACATTTGCATAAGATTCCACATTAAGACAATCATAATAAAGTTCCATCGGAACAAGCAAATACATTATTTACCGAACGAAATATATGTGCTATACCTTCATTGCGCCATTAGTAGCTATTGCACTCAAAGATAAAGTTGTAAGGAAAGTACAAGAACCACAGAAAGCGACCAGCAACAATGATTGCCCAATCCCAGCCATACCTATGATCCTAAAGCATGGTGAGGATCAGAAAACGGCTTACACAAATATAAAAAACTGAATAAACATTAACTGGTAAAATGACAACAAATAAACACAAAACAAGAGGGTGGAAGTTTATCAATTCTACAAAGCGCTGAAGAAAATAAAGGGTTTTTTTTTTAGTTCTTGTGCAATTTCAGGCATATATACATCGAATATTCAACGTCCTAGTAGCCAAATTGAACTAGAGTTTGTTAAAAACCCAAGTAAAAATCATTTTGCTTGTATGGATCAAGGATTATTAGCATCAGGATGGGCATTTCCAGGAATGCTCAGTATAGAACATTCAGAAACAGGGAACTTACCATGAAAATCTGATGTAGTAAATAATCCCTAAAATGTTTTGCAGACAAGGAACAAACACTCCCATCATAGTCCCCAATTTGACACTGTTGGCCTGCGTGATACATAACTTGCTTCAGAGGGAACATGACTAAGAAGAAACAGTAAATCTCCATGCATCAATTGACATACTGAAATACTCAGATTTACCGATTTGTTCCAACTGTTATTAGAGTAAAAAAGAGATGGGAAAGAAGGAAAAAGAAGAAAATGACATAATTCAGCTGTACCTGTGGACGCTCAATTGGAGCATCATCTCCATCTCTAGGACTGGATGGTGCTTGAATCTGATCACCTGCCATACTGGCAAATGAAGACTCATCAAACAAATTCAGACTATAGCAAATGAAAAGTAGTTCAATTTCGAGAAAATATCAGTCGGCAGACACGACCATCTCAAAGACGAATGTTAATGGAAACATTATGATATTTGATGCTTCAGATTTTCCTTCTAGGGAATAATGTGAACAAATGTAACAAAAATGATCATTTAAGCCATACCTTTTGAGCCCCAAAATATTAACAAGCGAGTCAAAACCAAACAATTCCAATTTGGAATCGGTCTGAGAACCATTGACACTTTCATGATTAGGTACTCGTCCATCACTTCCCTCAGAGCCTTTACTTGATCCAACGTCCACTCTAAGTTTTCTACAAATTCACAAATGTCGTATAAGACAGAACGTACAACAACGATATACAACAACAAAATTAGTTACGTAAACTGGTAATAACTAAACGCTACAAGCAGAAATATCAGAGTCATCAGCAAACACAAGTATTGTAGACCAAGTGCAGAAACTTCGAATAAATGATGAACCAAATAGGAGAAGCACAATCATCTTTTATTTTTCACTCCAACGCAAGTCCAAACCCCTAACAGCTATAAACAATGCTCAAGTAGCTCAAGCCAAAAGAAAACAGAACATATAAACAAGACGTCACACTTCAAACACAAGGGTGCCCAAAAAAAATTCAAGATTACTCATTATCATTGGGGCTGCTCACAGAAGCTGAAGAAGACGGATTGATACTGGGAATGCTGAAGTAGGTAAATTCAAAACAATAAACACAAATTTTACCACAACACAACATACAACCAAGGGATCACACTTCACAAACAAGGGAGCCCAACAAAAGAAATTTTGAACCCGAGATTACTTGAGATCATTTGGGCCGTTCCCAGAAGCTGAAGACGACGGATGGATACTCGGATCAATCGAGGACATCTCGAGAACAGCTCGATCATGGTCGTGCGCGAACACTGGCCTGTACTTGCGCCCACCCAAACCCCTCCCCGATGAAAACTCGTTCTCGTCCGACAACGCCTCTATTTCCGCTCCATTGTTATCGGACGCCATTGCATTAATCTCAATCGGCTCGATTCTCTGGATCTACTTTCTTCCACAGTGTGTTGTGCGAGGCAAGAGCATGAAAAAGGGGACTCAGATCCAATAAAATGAAGGTAAAAATCGAGAGCGATCTCTGAAAATTCAAACACGAGGGTTGAAAACGAAGAAAAAATCTTGAATTTGGCACTGATTTTGAAATGTTATTGCATCTTCGTGAGTGAGAGGAAAAAGGGGGTTTGAAAATTGAAGAACGGAAGAAAAGGAGTTTCCTTTTTCTCTTTTAACGTAAAGGCGGCGCGTGAGTGTCGTGTAGAGCTGTTCGCGCGTCTGTGCGATAACAGTGACCTCGTCCCTGCGGTTCTCTGCATTGCGGTTGAAACAAGTTTTCTGGTCATTTTTTGTGTGGAACCATCACGTGGTGTATTTTGAACTAGAGCCGAGTCCACCTGGATCTTTTAACGAGTCGAGCCATGCCTATTGTTAGCTAAACAAGCTAATAATTGAGCTTGAGTTTAGTTCGTTTATCAAAATTGACGAGTCAAACTGTAAAAGATTATATAAAAAAAAATATTAATGAGACGAGATGACTTGTTAACTAAAAGATCTTTCGACGTATTTGAGTTTAATTCATATCAAATAAGTCAAGTTCACGAGTGACTCGTTTCGTTTAACAGCTTTGTACTCAATCCAAGTTGGACCCAAGTTATAAACGGAAGAAGCACCTAACGGTAAATTCCATCCTACCCGTTTGCTTTGTTCTTACCAAGATTTTAACTACCAGATCAATACACACTCAATCGAGTATTTGTTTTGGGTGTGTGTGATCGAAAGGTTAGAGCTCTTATGAGACTGTTTCTACGGTAAGGTCGAATCTACCGAGCAATCATTCCATACATCATTAGTTATTTTATTACAAGGTTTCAATATTTCAGTATTCATCACCATCTTACTATATATACCACTCATTAGTGAATCACCATACTAAAATACATCCATCACATATCAACACACATGTTTACCATGTTTATTACTGTTGGATCAACACACATATTTACCCGATTTTTTACCGTTTGATCAACACACACGTTGCAGTATCAAATTTTCCCAAAAGTAGAGGGCATGTGTTGAGGGACAAACATTGAATAAAGAACTAGATAAAGAAAAAATGAACATATAAAAGCTCCAAAATTGGGCTCCCTCAGTATTGATGAGAATTTCCCAAAGAACGAAAAAAAAATGATGAGTAAATATGCTATTACATTTTCATGCATGATAACACTACCTATAAAAGCTCAATCAAGCTTCAATGCACCACCAAGAAGTTTAAGTTATAGAGATACAGATTAGCTACTCAAATAGCCACAACTGAATACCAGAACTCCAGAAAAAATAATCAGGATTTCATACTTCATCCAAATTAAATACCAGCTCGATTTCCGCATCCTAATAATCGGTAAGAGAGGTTTCTTCAGATTGTTGGGCTGATATCAGTTCTTCAGCTTCACACATTTCCTCTTCGATATGTGTTTCATCAATTTGCATCGTTTTTCGAATTCCGGCGCAGTCCAATCAGCTCTTTCGCATCGGCCTCAAGACCCGTCAACTTCTTTTCCAAACTGCTAACTTTATCCGAAAAGATGCTAAACTGACCATCCCAATCCTCCACAATTCCATTCATCTTCTCCTCGAAAATAAAGCAATTCATCTTAAACTCCTCCTTGCGATATTCCACAAATGCCCTCTGAGTTTCCTTCAGAGCCTTCCTGTAACCTTCCAATACGCTCCCCATCACATAAAGCTCGCGTTCGAGCCGGTAAATCTCGCGGTCTTTTTTCTGCGCCTCTTCGTACCTGATCTGGTGCAAGTGCTCGATAACCGAATCGCGTTTTTGCAACTTAGAGAGCATAATCTGCTGGTTCGTGCTCGTCTGATCGAGCACGCGTGCTTTCTCCTCGTACAGCATTCTCGCTCTATCGGCCACATTCTGAATCTGCTCCATACACGTCCCGAAATTGCTGATTCTCAGTTTCTTGTTCCTTTCATGATGATGCATGAGATGTGTTTCATCGTGCTGCTCGAGTAACCTTTTGCCTCTGTTGGTGAAGAAAGTCGGCATATCGTCAACACTCATATCCACTGAAGATTGCCCACGGAGATGAACTTGTGAGTTGAAGGCCATCTGGTTCTCCTCTATCGTCGGAAGTAAGTTGCCGGAAAATCCATCTCCGGCAAGAGAATCGTTGTGGCAAGAAAATAAACCAAATTTATTCTCATCATCATTTTCATCTTCTTCTTCTTCCTCCTCAATTTGTTCCGCAAAGCTCCCAAATGCCTCGGAATTTTCCGCATCACACCTCATTAAATACTCCCCAAACTCGTTTTTACCATTCAAAAGCCACTGCCCTTGCTCGTCCTCTCTCTCTTCCTCTTTCACGCCTTCTTCTTTTTCACCTTCCTTTCCGAGTGACAGTTCCATCTTCGCTCCAAGATTGTTAATTTCTTCGCCAACCATATTCAAATCAATATCATCTCTCTCATGCATTTCATCAAGATCTTCCGTAGCATGCTCACATTCCAATTGCTTGTTCCAAAACAGATCCTTACGTTGAAACTTGATCAAGTGCTGCAAATGGGACGCGTAGTGACAGTCTTTTAGCTCACACCCTTGTTTCAACTCCTTCTCCACCATAAACCAGAACAGGCTAGCCCAATCAACTTTCTCCGGGTGCCCGTTTGTTATCAGCTCAAACCACTCTTTCACCTCCTTCGGCATTATCCAAGTGTCCTCGTGCAAAAGCATCCAATCCGAGACGAGCTCGCTAACGAACCCTACTGACGCATCCGACAGGGGCTCATCGTCTGCATTTCCTTTCTTCTTCTCAGACAGCTTGAAAGCACGAGCCAGATCAGCTCTACTGACCGTAATTCTAAAACCATCGACATAACCAGCAGGGGGCTCGTAGGTAGCAACCAACTGTGCAATCATGTCGACCCTTATGTTTCGATCCAAGTCGATGTGAACAAAATCCCACAGGCCGAGCTTCTTTAGAAGCTTCTCGTGCTTGGCGAAATCGAGGATTTTGTTAGGTATGAAGGGGACAGGGTTCAAATTCGCCGTCAAGGTTGCAACTTCTCTTCTATAGCATGTTGTTTCTTGGTGTTAGCTTTGCCCTTATTCCGCTTGCCGGCTCCCCACCTGGTGATCGGGCCGCCGGAGGGTGACGTGGCGGCGGCTGTGATTGGGGGGTCCACGTGTACATCTCCGCCGTCGTCATCGTCGACTTCTTCCTCGTCGTCCGGGCAGTTGGCTTCCTCATCGGGACGGGGATGCGACGAAGGATCGAAATTTTCCGGCGGCGGCGGCGGCGGCGGCGGGTCGGTGGGAGTGGGACTTAGGGTTTCGGGATTGAGGGCAGGGGAGTCCTCGCGTACGACGTCGGAATCATGGGTCGGCATTGGCGATGGCAATTGATCGGACATTGGCTTGGCTTTGGCGGCTTTTCTCTTCACTCTCCGAGCTTCTGAATCACAGTCTTCCCCTCCGTCGGACCCCACGGCGTTGAGATTGGCGACTTTTTACTATTCTTAAAGCGCGTTTAGAGTTATGTTCTTGTATTAGTACTGAACCAAAGTTACACCTATTACGGCTATGATCTCTTTCCAAATATATACATACATTCATCTATTTCGAAATGGAGATGGTGAAAATTTTCACGAAGAAAATTATCTCTCTCTCTCTCTCTCTCTCTCTCTCTCTCTCTCTCTCTCTCTCTGTCTCTCTCTGTAAACACTCTCGGCCCAAAAAAAAAAGAAAGAAAAAAGTTCTCTCCGGTGGCCCCCCTCCGATATGGCTTTAGGATTTGCTCTCTCGTCGTTGGTTTTTCTCTCGCTCGAAGGTTCTCGGAGGAAGCTCAGACGTAGGTTGAGACTCGTCTCTTCGTCAGATTTGATTAGACATTTGAATAAGTTTGTTTTGGAGCTTTTGATTTGTTGCTCTCTTTTAGGTTCTCGATTGTGGGGTTTGGCCAGTGTGCTAGTGTATAATTCGAGTAAACATAGTTGTGTTCTCTTGAGATTGTGTGTTGTAGTCCTCTTTCTTGGTTCTCTTCAATCTAGCTCTCGCGTCTGATTAATTAGTCTCCTTAGTTTGAGACACGTCCCTTCGTCAGATTTGATTAGGAGGTGTTTGAATAAATTCACAATTTTTATGTTTTAGGGCCTATAATTTGTTGGTCTCTTTTAGATTCTCATTGTGGGGTTGGATCATTATGGGGTTTGACCAGTGTGTTGGTTCGAGTGAACATAGCGGTGTGCTCGTAAGATTGTGTATTGTATTGTACTCATTTTCCTTGTTTCTCTTCAATACAGCGCCCGCATTTGATTAATTTTGTCTTTTTTTTTTTATAGAGTTTTGGTGTCTCCTCCTGAGAATTTGTGCCTGGTTTATTAGTCATGTTATTATGTATGAGTGTGTTCAGGTATTTTTTTGTTACTCTCATTGGCTGATTGCGTAACTCTAACGAAGAATTGAATACAAACTCTTTTTTCTGATTTTAGTGATATCAGCTGACATCCCGAGTGTACTCTATTTTGGAGCTTTTATTTTTTGGAAACAAAAAATTATTTCATTATTTTATTTTTTGGACATTTATTTCGTATTTATTTCTTTTTATTTTTGGCAAAACAAACACCATGTTCAACACATAATAGGGGACGAGAAACCACCTTCAATTAAAGGAAGTTTTACGATCATCCATAACTTCCATACTAAGATTAGCATGATTAACAATATCAAATCAAGTATTAATTAAACAAACTTGACTGCAAAGGATTAACTACCATACCAAATTAGCACACGATATAAACCCAAGAATTAATTAAACGATCTTGACTATCAACTGCATATTGGTTCAAAGGATTAATCAAGTCGACCTCTCGAACTTAATTAACTAAGCATGATATTCAAGCCATAATGTGTGCTAAGTATGGTATTTCATACGGAATGATTTTTTTTTTTTTTTTTGGTACAGGGACCTTCCGGTTTTCGGATCCACAGGGGAACCGACTAATCTGGAATCGAGCCGGGTAGGACCACAAGGGCGGCAAAGCTCTCCCTCAAGAGTTTTAACACTGCTGCATTCCCAGGGCTCGAACTCGAGGCCACTAGTTAAGCTGGAAGAGACCCAAGTCATCTCATCCAAGCGCTCTTGGGTGGAATGATTTGAATTACATTCAATAATTATAAAGAACTATTAGAAGTCACAAATTTCTTGACCAATGAAGAAAACACATATATATAAATGGTATGACTCATATATGTTGACTACTTCATGTCGATGACATGTTAGTAGGAGGACAAATAGTTTCATTTATTTGTCCAAAACTTCTTATGTGTGTTGGGTATTTAATTGACACTTTTACAAGTTTACTATATCCTTAGATTTTTTTTTATTTATTTTTTTTTGTCTTTCCAAAAGAACGACATTCGAAATTAAACTATACATAAAATATTTATATACGAATCATAAATAAAAAACAATGCTCTTTTGAAACTATTAAAAAAAAAGTAAGTCACAAATCAACTATCCACAAATCGTGACTATTATTGTAAGTGTAAATAAATAAATAATAAATAAAATAATAAATGTGCAAGTAAATATATTTGGAAGTGAATAGTGTTATTTTCTAAATATATTTTTCTCAAGGGTAAATTTCACTTTTGGTACCCAAACTAAAGTTCATTTTGGAATTAGTACCCACTTTTTAATAGTTGCAAAATGAATACCCAAACTTTTATTCCGTTTGCGACGTTAGTACCCGACGTTAGTTGTCCGTCAAAAGGCCGTTAGTCGTCACCGTTAGCTGTTAAAATGGAGGGAAATGTGTTTTTTTTTTTGCGCGTCTGTTATACTCTATATATATATGGCTTAATGTAGCCATATTTTTCCATAAAAAATCGCAGCTTTCAACAGAAAATAGGAAAAATCTGAAAAAAAAAAAAAAAATGAGAAGTAATTCTAGCAATTCTTCTTCTTGAAATAATAACTTTCCTGTCCAAAAATGTTGGTGTCCTTTTGGTGAAGAGCTCCCATTGAAGACATCATGGACAAAAATCAATCCCGGAAGAAGATATTGGGCATGTCCAAAATACAGGGTATTATTTTCGATTTTTCTTTTTTTATCATATTCATAAAAAAATTTATGATTGTATTATTCTCTCTTGCGGACAATTGAATATTGTGGATTTTACAAGTGGTTGGATCCGGAAATGTGTGCTCGTTCCAAACAAATAATACTCGGACTGCTTTCAAAAATCAACAAGCTTGAGGATGAGGTCAATGACTTCATGATAAGAGAAGGAAATTGGAAGCTGATTTGAAGAAAGCCAATAGCAAGAATAAGAGTTTGGAAAAACAACTAGCTGCATTGAAAAATGAAAAAAAAAAAAATTCCATTGTAAAAGTAGGAGTCTTTTTTCTACTTGTAGTAATTGTGTTCTATGTACTAAGTAGCAAAAATTAGCAATTAGCAAATGCAACTTATGTAATCAGCATTTTCTAAGTCAATGAAAGCAGCATTTTCATTTTCCAACATATGTATCCCTTTACAAATTACTTAACCAAATGCAATACTATCCTCTGTCTGAACTCAATCAAAGAAAATGAACTCAATCAACATTATCTTGACAATCCAATATAAATAGAAATCCACAATCAATTATTATCTTAACCAAATTTGTTTGGGCCTTCACCTTATTGTCATTTGTTGACCAGGACCAGTTCCGTTAACACGTTGAGCCCAGCAGAACCAAGACTCGGCCCAGAAATGATACAGAGAAGTAGAAATAAGAGGAATTTGCACCCCTTACCCTAAGTTATGATTTTTATTACATGTATGTACCCCATATATTATTATTTATATAATTGCCCAAAGAAGGCAAAAATATTGCAATTATACCAGATGTAACCATTATAATTTTCTCCAAAAGTTGATCACGATCTTCTCACGTGGCCTCGTTCTCACCAGATTCTTTTCTTCCAAGGAGTAATTTTCGGATCCATTTATTTCATCTCAACCAACTAAGTAATTACTTCTTTCCAATCAATTCTTTGAAGTAACAAAAAAATCCGACCGAGAAAAATTTGAGAAGATGATTCAGCCTTCTTTTCCGCACGCCGTTGAAAAATTTGTGATTATGATTTGGGATCCAGAACCGAACCCTTGAAGCCGGCGGCGTTAATCCCACGGACCAGGTTCTCTTGGCTAATTAACTTCTCGAGGCTTCGCTTTTCGGTAAAGTTTTCCTATTTTATTTTATTTTTTTTTTTTTTATTTTGTGGATCTTCTTAAAATTAGTTGTCGCATCATTTGCAGACTTCCATGATCACCAAGAATTGTGTTAGTAGTGTGAGTTTTAGTTTATTAATTCCGGTGCATTGTGAGAGACGGTGCAAAATTAGAGCCCCTTGTTGCGACTGAGGGAGAAGAGAAATATATGATTTTTTCAATTACAGAGGGTTACGGCGTCTCCAGGATCGGGGGAGATGATGGGTGGTTGCAAGAAAACTGAATTTTTCTTCGATTTTTTAGGGTATTTGGACTGTGTAGATACTTTGGATTGAAGTATATGTACGGTATATTCCTAAAATATGCAAAGTATATGTTCATGGCAATATATGTTGCTTGGATATATACTGAATATATATGTATGATATATATTGATTTTTTTGTTGCGTGAATATGCACAGTATAAACTATTTTTTTTTTTTTTTTGGTGTATGTATGGTATATATTCAGTATATATTTATATATCAAATAAATTTATCGCGAGACATAATTTTTATGTAAAAAATCAGTTTATATTTAGCATAAATTGATTTTTTTTGTTGTTGTTGTTGTGTATATGTATGGTTTATATTATGTAAGCTGTTATAATATGTTTTTAATATATATATATATATATATATATATATATATACTAACATGAACGCAATATATACCACAATTGCGTGAACTAAGGAATTCTAACTGCGCACATATACTGAATATATACTAACATAAACCTAATATATACCACCTGACAGCTGCGTGAATTAATGAATTCTAGTTGTGCAAATTAAAGAATTAAATTGAATTAGTTATTTATTTTTATTTCTCTCTCTTATGAGTCAGCGATAATTAAGGATTGAACGTTTTATTTGTATGGTTATTTACATGAGGTATAATTCTAATAAAATCCTAGGTTTTAGGTATAGATGCAATTTAATTTGTTCCACTTATAAAATTGCAATATCTTGCAATTCTTACGGGAAGAGTGAAAATTTCCCTAGAAATAAAGAGCCCAGCTTTGCATGAGATCATATCCATACTTGGATACAAATAAGCAATTTTGTTCAACTTATGGCTTTGGTAAACCGCATGCTTAGTAATCAAATTCATAACCACAACAATGGGTTTGTGAATATTCAAATAATCAAATGCATTATATTGAATTACAATAAAAACCTTTAGTCAATTCACATCAATTTCCGAGTAAATTCAAGTAACACAGATTCTTGCGTGAGGCGGCCTATCCGTTAGGTAGATCGACCCATCATACTTTTATAACAAAAATGCATGTTTATATTATGAAATGTCATATCTTTGTCTATGCCGTTTTTTAGTATGATATTGCAGTTCAAAAGTAGTATACATATTTGTTGAAAATGTATGTATGCCTAATCGTTAGGTTTGACTACGAATACACTTAATCTTAGAATGAAATTTCTTGGCTTATCAAGTATATGTTTAGTTAATTAAATGCAACATAATTAACTATCCACACAAATTCCATTACTTAATTCACCATCAATCAATTTCCTTCCATGATTTGGGGGAAGAAAAACAATAGTAATATCCCATGTTCTTTTTTGCATACTTGTCTCTATTTGTAATTTTATTCTTGATTTGTGGGCATGAGACTTTGGGCATACACATGCCTATTATTGTCTCTCAAAGTCAAAAAACAAAGCAATAGCCAAACTACTTGTCAAAAAACCTATACAATTATTGCCCCCAAAAAAAATATTAATTTTGTCCTTAGACAACTAAACAAAGAAAAGCAAATAGTCTTTCATAGTCATGGCTCAAACACCCAACCAACTAACCATAGTTAGCCGGCTTTTCTACATGCCGTGACACGTGTCAGTATACTAAAAACGCAGAATCTTGACACGTGTCTCGAGAGATTAGCATACCATATACGATGAATATAATGTTTAAAGATTACGAGATTTTGACGCGTGGCTAATGAATGCATTCTAACATAGTTACTAACAGTGGGTAGGTGAATATTTTCTTATCAATAGTAAGGAAAAAGAAAGACTGTCAACATGATCTATTGCATTTACTCAATCAAATTATATTATACTTAAAAAAAATGTTTACCAACTCTAATTATTCTATTGGATTTGGTAATGACATTTGATTAAGAAAAAAGGTGAACAGAACAAAAGGGCAGTGCCCTTTTTTCTTGATATTGTTCACCCACCTATTTGCCTTTCATCTCCATCTCCTCTGTTTCTCATTTCTTGAAAGCTTTCTATACTAAGTCAATTTTTCCTCTGTTCTTTGTTCCTTGCCTCAAAGAAGTTATGAGCCAGGTTTTAGCAAACTCATCTCCCGAGTCGACTCGTCCCTCGATTTCAACTGTAACTCAACGTCAATACGATGATACCGCATTAGAAGGTACATTATACGCGCCGTTTATTATTAGTACTTGCGAAATCCTTAAAATCTTGATTTAATTTTTTTTTTTCTAAGTTTTCCTGTGTGTTCTTTGATCATGTTGGTACCTTGTTGATCAAGTTTCTTGACTAAATTTTTGATCATTTTTTTTCGGTTCTCGTTGTTTTTAGGTGTGGCGGCAAACACGAAGCTGCTGCTGAAATTGGTCGAGGACCATAGGGACGCGTGCCGGAAGGAGAAAAACGAAGGCCGTCGGATGCTGAGGGTGGCCACGATGATGACCATCCTCGACAATATCCGTGGCCGTATCCAAAAATGCCAATCATTGGGCCGCAAGGGAACCACCGGTCCCGATCCAAGTCCAACCGAAAACCCAGATGAGGAGAAGGCCCGTCTCAAGCGTGAGCTTGCATCGAGCCTGGCCGCTCAGAAAAGCCTCCAGGTGTGTGTAAAAGTAAAACTCGTGTCGACAACAAAAAAAATCTTTTTGTTTTTCTTTAGTTTTGTTTTCGTTGTTGTCGTGTTTTAGAATTTTGGGGTGGAAAAAAAATATATATATATATCATGTGGGCCCACTGCAGGCGATGTGCTCGAGTCTCGGGAAGGAGAAGGAGATTATGGCGGCCGAGCTTTCGAGGAAGGCTCGGGAGCTTACGGGGATGGAGGAGCTGATAGGCGACTTGCGGGCCCAAAACGAGGCCCTGCTCGAGCGGGCCCGGTTGTGCGCTATCGAGCACGGCGAGGGAAAACAATCGGGAGGAGACGGAGTAGGGGAGCTAGAGGAGCGTAACAGGTTGCTGTCTGACCAGCTTTTGAAGTCGTTAGACGCGTATCGATCAATGAAGAGGAAGCTTCGGGCGTCACACGAGGAAAACGAGAGCATTCGCGCAACCTTAGACGAGATGAGGCGGAAGTTCATGGGGAGTCTCGGGAGGATTAAGGGATTCAAGGAAGGTGATGATTCGGAGTTTGATGTTCGGGAGGAGATTTCGGAGTTGGAGGGTATGTTCGAGTGCTTTCGAGTGATGGTGGAAAAGCATGAGGTAAAGCAAGGGGATTGCGGCGTGGAGCCGAAAGGCGGGAATATTAGTGCTCGTAGGCCGTCAGTTGTGGCGTGACGAGAGTAGTGTCGTTATCTTATCGAACTTATATAATATACATGGAGTTAGCTAGCTTTTAGGTTTTTGTTCGTCCGAATTCTGATGGTAAAAAACAAGCCACGTGTTATGGTTTGCTCATTTGTGTGGCGTCGAGTAGATTCATGTGTTAGCGTGGTTTTCGGGTGTTGAGAGCGTGCCAGTTTCGGTGGACTCGTATCGGTTTGTAATGTTTATCCGACTTATACGTACATGAAGTTATTACTTTTATGTTTTTGTTTGTCCCGAGTGCTGACGATAAAACACGGTGTGTTATGGTCCGACTGTGGAGTAGATGCTTAACAATCTATATGTGTATTTATTGTGTTGAGAAAGTGTTTTACCATTATCATATAGATAAGAAAACAAGGATGGCATTAAGTCTAATTGCAGAAGTTTTTTTTTTGGTACAATAAAGGAGGCCAAAACGTCTAATCTAGAACCCGGCGAGGGTATGAGACCCCAATATTATCGTATTGAAGCCACTCACCCAACCCTGTAGGAATACTTGGAAACTCGATGCAATGCGAGGAAGAAAAAAAGTGGAATTTAGCTAAAGTCGCATTTCCATTTTTTATTTTTATTTTATTTTTTTGTGAAAGCTGGTATAATCGTGTTTCGATTGACAATAAACAATTGGCGTTAGGAGTAAAGAGGTAGCAAAAGCGTGCATGCAAGGTTTGACCAATCGGTCAAAGGTGTGACCGTTTGTCGGACTCAAAGTCACGATGATTTGTAAATATTTCACTTAATCAATGGCTTTTAATGTAGATATGCTTTCTAACTAGCAAGCTAACACCTATTTCATTGACAATTAATTATTAGAAAAGGATACTTTTTTTATTAATAAAATGTTAATTATTATCATGATAGAGATTGATTTATGAATAAAATGATAATTATTTCGACTTGACTTGTTGAAAATGAGGTTTATGACCAATTCAAACCAATAAAATTACAGTTTTAATTAAATCTCACTATGATCAATATTATTATTAATATAACTAAATAATATCAATCAGTCATTTTTACACATCACATCAATTTTAATTTACGATTCATCAACTCACGTAATTTTAATTGTCTATCACTTTTCGATTAAATTTTTCATACTTTTACATCAAATTAACTCTAATTATTTTATTTTAAATATTATTGTAATACAAACTCAAAATTCACTCAAACTTGACCCAATAACTTTTTCAAATAAACTATGATTAACAAAAAAATATCAATCAAAATTATATTCAATCACCCTCTTATTCTTAAGATGATGTTTCTTTCTATTCAAATTAGTTTGAGAGAGAGCATAATAATAATAAGAGAGTTTTTTCAATACAAGATCTGAAAGATAGTTAAACCATCAAATTATCTCAATTTAATGGGTGTGAAAGATTTTTTTTCTCAATTGGGGACCTAAATGTTATAAAACTATCAAATTAAGTCATAGAATTAACAAAACTCATAACACCAATAAATTGAGAGTTAAAAGAAATCTCAATTTAATGGTGTTAAAAAAAAACTCATAACAGACCTGTAACGCAAAATTTCGTATTATTAAATTAATAAACACGAGAACTTCGTACAAATGGATTTTTAACGGATCAAAAGAAATATAGTGGATTACAAATCTCTATTATTCCTCTGATTAATTTCTTTAAGAACAATCTTCAAATGGATATGAGACTTTTGGAGACGAATCTATAGTTTGATCTCCGCCGGTCTTGAATATGGATTTGAATAACGTTTCTTCGAGGGCTTGACAGCTTGATCTCGAATCGAACGCCGTGATTTCCCAAGAACGTGAAGAACACGAATCCTTGGTCTTCGCCGCAAAGTTGATTTTGATCTTCTTTACGTCGGTCTTGACTTCAATAACGTAATTCGGAGGCTTGACAGCTTGTTTCCGGATTGACCGTCGGTTTTGGGCTTGAACGTGCTTGAATCTTCCTTCGGATCTTCAAGAACGCCTTTGGATCTTCAAGACACTTGACCTTTAATAACGCAATTCGGAGGCTTGACAGCTTGTTTCCGGATTGAACGTCGGTTTTGGGCTTGAATGTGCTTGAATCTTCCTTCGGATCTTCAAAACGCCTTTGGATCTTCAAGAACACTTGAATCTTGTGGAGAGAATTCTCTAGAGCTCTTGAACTTGAAACATGAATATGAATTGTGATTTTTCACCTTAGGAAGAGCCCTATTTATAGGTGTTAGGAAAGAGAATCTTGGAAAAGAAGACTTCAATTTGATTGGTCCATTAATTTCTATTTATTTATCTCTTTAATAATTATTAAAAGAAATAAATATTTATTTAATTCTCTCAGGGAATGACATGTGGCATTCTTTAATTGGCCTTCAAAATATACATGTGACATTCTTTAATTGGCCAACAATGTATACTAAATAATCAATTAATTAACTATTTAATTTAGGAATTAAAATTTGATTAATTTCCCAAATAAAATAGAAAATTATTAAATTGATTATGACATGGAATTTGACACTTGTCACTAATTGGCTCAAAATTTACTTGTCTACAAATGCCCCATCGAGACATGTTCACGGACGACTCGTCTTGGAGTGAATAAGTCACGATTTTCTTTGATTCGGGCTTAACATCATACGGTCCAAACTTATTAAAATGATGAACATCATATGAACTTGGGTTGGCCCAAATCATTAAGCTTGTACAATGTACATCTCAAAGTGGCCTATGTGCATACGCATAACTAGCCCCATTAACAATTGCTAACACGTGATTTTCATTAAATTAGGCCCAAGTACATTAAATTATTGGCCCACTCCAAAATTCCACCAGCCAATTGGATTAGGCTCAATATGAGTGCAACAAATTCCTTTATACAGCAGGATTTACAATATTTATGTGGCCATAAATAAAGTCCCAAAAAAGAAAACTTCCAACGTTTGGTCGAGAAACATGAAAAAACCAGAGTCCCCCTCCATCTTCTGCAAACACAAATCTCCTAGCAGGACTCTAAATCCTTTCCCTAACTCAACTCAAACTCCTCTTCTTTCCTTTAAATCCGAGTACACGGACTCTCCTCCACATCTATAAAAAGGGCTCCAACTCTTCGTATGTTCCCTAATCCCTACCATCGACAGGTACTTCGGCTTTGCTTTTTTTTTTTTTTTTTT